TCCATATGTTCATTCAGCATTTATTTATTTATTTATTTTGAGTTGGAGTCTCACTCCGCCGCCCAGGCTGGGGTGCTGTGGCATGCTCACAGCCATGCCAGTGTTGACCTGCTGGACTCTGGCGATCCTTCTACCTCAGCCTTCCAAGTAGCCAGAATTACAGGCATGTGCTACCATGCCCAGCTAATTTTTTGATTTATTGTAGAGACGAGGTCTCACCAAATTGACCAGGCTGGTCTCGAACCCCTGGGCTCTGGCAATCCACTCACCTCGGCCTCCCAAAGTGCTGGTTTAGAGACCTGAGCCACTGCATCCGGCCTCAGCATTTATTTATAAGTACCTATTGTGACTGGAGGAATCTAGGGAATTTCACCCCAAAATAGGGAACCCTAGTATTCTGATTTTTTTTTTTTTTGAGTTGGAGTCTCACTCTTCTTGCCCAAGCTGGAGTACAGTGGCATGCTCATGGCCACCGCAGCCTCGACCTGCTGGGTTTAGGCGATCCTTCCACCTCAGCCTTCCAAGTAGCTGGAACTATAGATTCACCCCACCATACCCAGCTAGTTTTTGTGATTTTTATTGTAGAGACGAGGTCTCATCATGTTGCCCAGGCTGGTCTCAAACCCCTGGCAATTCTCTTGCCTCGGCCTCCCAAAATGCTGGATTACAGACTGAGTCAGCGCACCTGGCCTTTGCTGATTATTTTAAAGGTCCTTGAAAGGTAGCAGATGCTAGAAGAGGTTTTTCTCTGATCTTCTCTTATACACCTTGAGACTGAACCTACCAGAGAGAACAAAATTGCCTTTCACTCCTCCATAAAATTTCATTATATAAGAGAAGAAGACTGAGTTCCATTCACACTCGGATGGACTTTTTCAAAGAATAATATCTGCCTCTCAGGGTCATTCAAATTCCAAAGAGAATCATTTACAAATTAATTTCTGTCTCCCTGGTCAATTCATTCTTCCTACTAATAATTTATGACCTCTCAAAAGGATTGTCTACATTCCCCATCTCCCCTACCCCTATGTAGAAGGGTATATAAGCATTTGTACCTCATTGATTATTGGGAAATCATTCTGCTAGGATTTCCTCCTATGCACATAAAAGTAAATTTGTATGCCTTTTTCTCCTATCAATTTACCTCTGTCAGTTTATTTTCTGCTAACTTTCAGTGGGTGAAGGGGAACCCAAGCATTGGTTCAGGCAATGAAGATTCAGTGTAAACAAACACCACTAACAACACCGTGGTCTTTTGGAGTTGTGCTCAAAGACCCGGATGTACTCCCTCAGAATGTGGATGGAGGTTGGGCACCTGTAATCCCTGCACTTTGGGAGGCAGAGGTGGGAGGATTGCTTGAGTCCAGGAGTTCGAGATCAACCTGGGCAACATAGTGAGAACTTATCTCTACAAAAAAATATAAATAAAAATTAGCTGGATGTGGTGGCACATGCTTGTAGTCTCGGTTACTCGGGAGACTGATGAAGGAGAATCACCTAAGGCCAAGAGTTGGAGGGTGTGGTGAGCTATGATCATACCACAGCATTCTAGCCTGGGCAACAGAGTGAGATCCAGACTTAAAAAAAATAAAGAAAGGAGGCTGGATTTGGTGGCTTGGCCTATAATCTCAGCGCTTTGGGATACCAAGGTGAGTGGATTGTCTGAGCCTGTGGGTTGGTGACCAGCCCAGGCAACTTGATGAGACTTTGTCTCTACAATAAAAATAAAAAAAAATTAGCTGGGCTTGGTAGCATGCGCCTGTTGTTCTGGCTACTTGGAACACTGAGGCAGAAGGATTGCCGGAGGCCAGCAGGTTGACGCTGGAGTGGCCATGAGCATGCCACTGCACTCCAACCTGGGCGACGGAGTGAGACTCCAAGTCAAAAAAAGAATGTGGATGGAGAGTGAAGAGAGGTCTGACAGCCCAGCTTAGGGGTCTCCATCCTTTAGAATTCTATAGAAGAGGTCAGACCAAGCAAAACAGATTGAAAAGGAACAGTTGTTAGGAAAGGGGGAAACTGGGAAAGTGTGGTATTCCAGAATCCCACCTGATGAAGGTATTGATTAGTAGTATCAAATTCTGTCCAGCAATTGAGAAATTCACCTTTGGATTAGCAAACTGGAGTCGTTTGTCAAGGTGGTTGCAGAGGAAGAGTGGCCTGAAGATTACGTGGCAGCTGGTGTGATGGGACTCCTGGACACCCCAGTCATCAACTGAAACACCAGACAGGGAGGCAATTAAAACAGGTATCTGGGCAACAAGTTATTGTATAAACAATCAATGGCATTTCTGGAGGCAAAAGCTTGTAGTTAGAAGAAACAACAGATTTCTGGGCGTAGTGGCTCAAGCCTGTAATCCCAGCACTTTGGGAGGCTGAGGAGAGAGTATTGCCTGAGCTCAGGGGTTTGAGACCAGCCTGGGCAACTTGGTGAGATCTCGTCTCCACAATAAATAAAAAAAAGAGGTTAGCGGGATGTGGTAGTGCATGCCTATATTTCCAGTTACTTGGGAGGCTGAGGCAGAAGAATCGCCTGAGTCTAGCAGGTCAAGGCTGCAGTGGCCATGAGCAGCATGCCACTGCACTCCAGCCTGGGCGACAGAGTGAGACTCCAACTAAAAAAAAAAAAAAAAAAAAAAAAAAGGAAAGAAAAAGGAAGAAGAAAAGAAGAAGAAGAAGAAGAAGAATAAACAACAGAAAATGAACCACAACTGCTTCTGAAAAAAAATAATGAGTAATTAATATACTGAATAAAGTTTCAATAAGTACAACAGTGTAGTACTGGTCCATACATAGAAAAGACTGATCAATGGAACAAACCTCAGAATTAGATGCAAATGTATATAAGAATTTCATATATGATAAAGGTGCATGTCAATGTAGTAAGTAAAAGATGAACTATTCAATGAATGGGAATGGGCACCTGGTGGGCCATCTAAAATAACATAAAGTTGAAAACATACATATATTATGTTAGGATAAACTCCAAATATCCTAACATGGGATTTATAATAAATTGTGCTAAATATTTATAATAAATAACAAAAATTAATAATAATAATAATATTAGTGATACCTGAAGAATCCATGGAAAATTCTTTTTTAACTCAAAGTGGGGAAACGTCATCAAACTATATCATGAGGTTGAAAAGAATATAAAAAATAGATTAATAAAGACAACAACATAAATAATTTCTTGGCATAACATGAGCCACTATAATAAAAAGATAAATAACAAGGTGGAAAAGTATTTGTATCTCATAGCATAGATAACATGCTAATTTTCCTTGTAGATAAAGTTCTTGCAAAATGATAATGAAAAAAACTCAATAAACCAATAAGAAAATGACTACTTTGATATAACAATACAAATTCACAGTTCCTAGAAAACGCAAATGGCTCTTAAACATATGGAAAGATTTGAAACCAAAATCACAATGAGAGATATGTAAATTAAAGGTACACTGAGTTACATTTTACTCACCAAAATTTTAAAGACCCAAAATTTTGCTAGCATAGTGCATGAGAGATAATGTGGGACCAGGCACTCTCACTTATTTCTGGTGGGTATAAAAATTGATAGAACCCCCATGGATGGCAATGGGCAACATATATGAAAATTGATAAAACTCATACTTTTTCATCATGTAACTTTTTAATATAGAATTTTATCCTACAGATATATTTGTACATGTGCAAAAGACACATGTACAAGGTTAATAAATGCAGGATTATTTGCAGTACCAAAAGATTGATAACAGTTGAAATGACCATCAATATTGTATAAACTATGGTTCATCCATAAATGGAATACTTTGTAGCTGTTTTTAAAAAAGCAACAGATTTCATATAGAAGAACCTCCAAGAAACAGGAAGTTTTAAAAAGTTGCAGAACAGCATATATTTGTACGAAAAGTGAGGCCCCCTCTCTCTCTCAGTATCAAGTTTACAGCCTGGAATCAAGTATCAAGTTTTTCTGCTTTACTCCTGTCATTCTGATGCCAGGTGTGGAGTGGTGTAATTGTTACGTGGGTTCTTGACTCCGCTGCAGAAAGTTGCAGCAGTGTAGCTTAGAGATTGATGGGTGGGTTTTTTTGTGGGCAGGCATAGCTTAGATAACCGAAAAACTAGATGGTTAAGCAGCCAGGTGAGTTCTGTCTTATTAGGACGTAACTTTTTGGAACAACACCTACACTGACCAAGCACCCAAACTTAACCTTGGAATGTGGGGCAGCTGATACATTCAGCTACAAAAACCATAAACAAGGCAATAGGGAATGACTGGAGGCACTGGGGGATGATGTTTTCAGAAAGAAACTTAGTTAATCCATAAAAAAGTAATCTTGGATGACCCGATCTGGAACTCTTTGTGGATAAGGGAAATACTATTATCCAATATGCTACTTTTTTTTAACCTAGAAGAATTGAGCAAAATGGACTTTGGCGAGGTAGTTTGTTGGATTTAAGACCTCTCTTTCCACTAATGCCAAAGCCAGGAGAGATATCAGCTATCGCTCCATGATAAGAAGGTACTAGCAGTGCTGCTTTCACTGAAATTTCAGCTGGAGAAAGGTCCACAGGTGAGGTTTTCTTCCAGGGAGTAATTTCTTTTTCTTTTACTCTCTCAAGATCCTTTTCTCACGTAATTGGTAAATTCCAATTGGGGAGAAATTGTGTTTTCTGCTTCTTTATGGGATCAGTGCTGAGCAGAGTGGGAACTCAGGAAATGCTTATTGATTGAATTTAGTCTGCTTTATTGGGTGACAAATTGGTCACAGAGCAATAACTCTTTGGGACCTTCTTGTTTATTCTTTCTAGAGAACTGGGCTGAGAAATAAGAGTTTATGCTTCTTCCTAAAATACATTCAATCTTTTGTCAGTCGTGATTCTAATACAAACAAATGGAAATAGAGAACAAACTGTCTTTGAAATTAAGTCCCCAGAATATGTCTGTTTGGGGTTGTGATCCTTTGCCTCTCTCGTTCTTTTATTTCAGCATAATGAGGCTTTTCACGAGCATTGTCTTCTGCTCCTTGGTCATAGGAGTCAGTAGTGAAGGCTGGTATTCGTTCTTCAAGGAGGCTGCCCAAGGTACGAGTCCCAGAGGATGAAGGGCACATCCAACTGTCCCCAGGATCCAGTCCGAGCAGAGGCTACATACCTACCAAATGTGGGTGCTCCTTAGAGAAGCCACAAATGGATCAGAGCAGGAGGGTGGTTTTCCATATCTTCCTCCTTCCAGGCTGGTCTAATTCAGCACCCTTCTGTGGTGTTTCCAGACTAGAGGCCAAAGGTGCTTTGGGCCCAGCTTGTGTTGTTGGTATAGTGTGCAGAAGAATAAGGACTTCCAGGGATCGCACTCCAACTGTGGAAATTTACAGATGGCAAATTTTTCAATCTTGGAGTATAGCTGTGACCTTGGTATGTTTTTAGGTGAATGAGCAGAATAGATATCATGGCCTACTCCAGGGAGGGGATCATCCTGTACCCAAGCAAATGGCCAATGGCTGGGATGCAGAATTTATGGAAATTAAGACTTAACTCTTACTCATACAATACATTGAGCAAGTTCCCACGGATTAACCACACAAGGGCTAAGACAGGGCCAGGAAACTGACTTCTGCTATTCCTGATGGGAAATAAATCTTACTGGCTCGTTGTTGAAATGGGAAAATTATGTTGTCAGTTTTGCAATACTTTGAACTTCATGTTTGTTGTTAGCTTTGTAATTGAACTGTTTGTGATTTTTACAAATTTCAGTGTTTCTGCGTTTTGAACTTCAAGTGCTTTAAAAAATGATATTCTCAAAATAACGGTTTTAAAAATGAGTTTTGGTGGCAACTGCTAAGTTTTTCCACACGTAAGAAAGACTATTTCCCTCCTTAAGTAGGCATATTTCAAAATTTGTTGTGTGGTACCAGAGCATTTAAATATGCTGGATATGTTTGTTTAAAAAGTATATTCCTTAATCAGGCATGGTAGTGCGCATCTGTAGTTCCGGCTACTTGGAAGGCTGAGGCGGAAGGATCGCCTGCTGTGGTCGATGCTGGGGTGGTGATGAGCATGCGTGCCACTGCACTCCAGCCTGGGCGATGGAATGAGACTCTGGCTCAAAAAAGAAAAAAAGTGTGTTCCTAAAAATAAATAAATAAATAGTTCATGAGTCACCATGCCCAGCACTTTGGGCGGCTGAGGCGGGAGTACTGCTTGAGTCCAGGAGTTTGAGATCAGCCTAGGCAACATAGCGAGGCCTCATCTCTACAAGAAAGTTAGCCAGAAGTGGTGGCTACTATAGTCCCAGCTACTTGGGAGGCTGAAGCAGAAGGATCGCCAGCACCCAGGAAGTCAAGGCTGTGGTGAGTTGTGATCCTGCCACCTTACTCTAGCCAGGGCAACAGAGTGAGACTCTGACTTGAAAAAAAAAAAAAAGAATACCTCAAATATTCATCATAGCTTTCTTTTTTCAAGTGAGTTGGTTTAAAGAAGTCCTTGATATGTAAGCCATAGCAAGACTAAAAATTATTCATTGATTGAACAGCGCAGGCCCTCACAGACACTTCCTACAATTCTTCCTGGCTTAGACCTGTTTCAAACATCTAATTTCCCCACTACTCTTATTTTAAAAACTTTACAAATGATATATAACTTACATACAGCAAACTGTACTGCTCGATGAACATTTACATATATAAACATCCATATTACCACTATCAGACAACATGCTGAACATTTCATGCACCCCAGAAAGGTCTCTCATGCTTTCTCCTGATTAATACCTCACCCTTATCAAAGGTAACTCCTGCTCTCAGTTCTACCATTATGATTAGTTTGCCTGATCTGGATCTTTGAATCAAAGAAATCATACAGAATATCTCTTGTGTCTGTTTTTCTTTCACTTAAATAATGTGACCAGAAGATTCATTCCTGTTGTTGTGTGTATCAATAGTTTACCATTTTTCTTGCTGCATAGTATCTCACACTTATCTCTTCTACAGAGTTGGGTAATTAGGCTTTTTAAATGTTTGGGCTGTTATGGATAAATCTGCAATAAACACTGATGTACATGTACTTTGGTGGACGTCAGCACTCATTTCTGTTGGGGGTGTATTCCTAGGAATGGAATTGTAACGTCATAAAGCATTTGTAGACTTAACTTTAGTAGAAACTAGCAAACAATTGTTTGAAATTGTACTAGTTTTATACTTCCATCAGCACTTATGAGAGTTTCAGCTGCTCCAAATCCTTGCCCACAATTGTTACTGTCAGTTTTTTAAAAATTGTTGGCTGTGCTCGGTGGCTCAGCCTGTAATCCCAGCACTTTGGGAGGCTGAGGCAAGTGGATTGCCTGAGGCTATGGGTTCGAGACCAGCCTAATTCATCTCTACAATAAATCAACAATTAGCCGGGCGTGGTCGATGCTGGGGTGGCTGTGAACGTGTCACTGCTCTCCGGCCTGGGTGACAGAGTGAGACTCCAATTCAAAAAGAAATTTTTTGTCATTCTGTTGGGTGTATAGTGGCATCACATTGTCACCAGTGCCCTTCACTAAGAGAAATGAGAACCTAACTTGCATCAAGTATTCCAATACGCTAGGCAATTTATGTATGTGACTTCATTTAATCTACCAGAAAGGTAGGTATGATTCTCCCAATTGAAGGGTGAGGAAACTGAAGTTTAATTGGCAAAGCAGAGCGTTAAACATTTACATTCCTGCCATTCCTGTCTGATTATCCAGGTCCTATGGAGGTTGATTCCATCTCATCACTTACTGCCTATTCCAACAGTTTTCCTATGCCATTTATGCCCATAACTGTCAGATTTGTTTAGATCTGAGTTGTCTTCACTCAACTGCAAAGGATGTATTTTTCTTTCTTTCTTTCTTTCTTTTTTGAGTTGGAGTCTCACTCTGTCATCCAGGCTGAAGTGCAGTGGCACGCTCACGGCCACCCCAGCCTTGACCTGCTGGGCTCAGGCAATTCTTCCGCCTCAGCTTTCCTAGTAGCTGAAACTACAGGCACACACCACCATGCCGGCTAAGTTTTTGATTTTTTATAGAGATAAGGTCTCACCAAGTTACCCAGGTTGGTTTCAAACCCGTGGGCTCAGGCAGTCCTCACACCTCGGCTTCCCTAAGTGCTGGAATTATAGGCATGAGCCACCGTGCCCAGAGGATGTATTTTTCTCATGGGCCATGGTAGATGTGGGTCCCTAACATAGTCCCTGGGTTCTGCAGTTGTGGTACCATTCTCCATCCTTACATCCCTCACATAAGCACCCCTTCTTTGTATATAGCACACAAAGACCCATATAAGACATAGCCCAGGGCATGACAGCTGCCAATCAATTCAATTAAATCCAACCCACTAAAAAGTACCCTACTTACCGTTACCTAGAGAAGTAATCCATAGAATGGAATGCTCATCTCAACATATGACTTCAAAGGATGATTTTGTCAAGGGTCAAAATCTGGAGATCAGTGGAAAATTTTCATTCCTCCGCCTTTCCAATATGTCACCAGGTTTATTTTTGTTATTTTCTTCCCTTTCCAGGGGCCTGGGACTTGTGGAGAGCCAACTGGCACATGCTAGAAGCCAATTACAGAAATTCAAACAGATATTTCCATGCTCGGGGGAACTATGATGCTGCCCAAAGGGGACCTGGGGGTATTTGGGCTGCTAAAGTGCTCAGGTAACACAGCTTCCTGGAAATGCTAGTGAGGGACCAGCAGGGTTTGTCTCTCTTGATGAGAACCTGGGTCTTGTGGGATCTGGGTGACCTGAGAGCCTGAGCAGGGCTGGTGAGAACATATGTCCTCTCACCCCCAAAGCGAAAGGAAGAACTGAGGAGAGGTCTCCAAAGCATCCTGTTGCAGGATGCAGAGAGAATCAGCTGACTTTGGCCCTTTCCCAAAAGGGTTGGTATTTTTCCTCCTCCTTCTTTGATTTTTCCAGCATTCATGGGGTCAGGGGGGTGGCAAGAGGGAAGAGGGAGTTAGGAAGTGGAGCTGTCTCAGGTGAGTCGAGAGATTAATCTTCTGTCTCTTTTTCTTGGACTCCAGCAATACCAGGCAATATCTTCAGGGGCTCTTAAGCCACTATTATTTTGGAAGCAGCAGCAGTGTATTGGATGACTTGGAGCTAAATCGGAAAGCTGAGGAATGGGGCCGGAGTGGCAAAGACCCCAATCACTTCAGACCTGATGGCCTACCTGAGGGATACTGAGCTTCCTGCTTCCTCTGCTCTCAGGGAACTAGACTGTGAGCCATACACTTTTCCCCTCCATATAGGGACACAGTGTTCCTGAGCTCTGTGTCCTCAGGGCTGGTATAGGGCACTTAAAGGTGCCCAATAAATGTTTGTAAAGTGAATGTGTTGATGGAAACTAGGAACACTGAGATTGATTTTCTGGTAAGAATGGCCACTGGGGGCCATCTGGAAGATAAATAGCACCATATAAGATAAGCCTGTAACTGTGGGGTCCCAGGGACTCCAACTTATCTGTAACTATGCAGGCTCCTCACATGACCCCCACCAAAGCCTCTTTAGTAATTAGTGGCCCCAGCTTCTCCTCCTGAGTAAGCCTGAGCTGGCCAAGCATTGACTGTCACACTGGGTTCCAATGACTGGAGTCATAGCTCATGGCCCTGGGCAACCTTCCATCAATCTCTGTAATTCCCAGCCCCCTACTTCTTCTAGCTATGGCCAGGCCTCTGGTTATTTTGTCGCTGTTCCCAGGCCTCTCCATGTATGGGAGGTATAATCCTAGGAGTTTTATCTTAGAAACTGCCATCTTGGACTAAGGCTTATTTCTTCTCAATACCTGCACCTACCCCAATTTACTTTTTAACTAATTCCTACTTATTTTACCTAAGGAATGACTCTCATGTTGGTTTTCCTCATCTTTGTCCTCACCATCTTTTAATTCAGATACAATTCTACTTCCTGTTCTAAAGAGGAAGTGAGATATGCAGACAGACACAACATGATTTAATATGAGCCTCAACAAAAGCATACACTGGTGGCAATCCAAAGCCTGCTGGGATATGGGAAGCCAGTGAATGGTCATTATAGTAGATGACATTTTTAACCATTGAAAGTGCCTGACATGGCAACCTCCTCAGGTCCCCTCCCACCGTGGGAGCTTTTCTGTCCTCTTAATAAATCCTGCTTTCTAAAAAAAAAAAAGAAAGAAAGTGCCCGACTATGCTCTATACTTTAAATGATTTATCTGATTTAAGCTGCAGAGAATGTCTTCGAAGTTCTCAGTTGAATACACTGAGGCTTAGGGGTATATGCCTAGGACATTCTCCAAGGTCACACACATAACAGCAGCAGAGTCAGGATTGCAGGCGGGATGGTCTGACTTCAGAACCTGTGAGGTACAGTACAAGCCAAGAGGTCCAGCAGTGGAGTTCCTCTCTACTTCTGGGTTCTCCAGCACTTGGTTTAAATGTCCAGGCAAGCACTTAGCTTAGGAGAATGCCTGACTTGCTGAAGAACAGGCACCACATCTTATTCATAATTGTATGAACAGTTATGCAGGCACTCCATAACTGCTTTCTGAATTAGATCACCACATTGAAACCCATACTTCAATCCACGTTACTATCCACTCATACACATTTTTCTCTTCTTCTTAGTAGTCAAATTTGTTGAAAGTGTGGCCCATCTACAACCTCTGATCCTCACTTCTGATCAAACTTTAACCCACTTATCTGTGTCCCCATCACTCTTGCAAAATAGCTTTGTCACCTCTGATCCTCCATGATGCCAAACAATAGACACATTTTTCTCCTCAGATCAGCAACTTTCTGAACATTAGCACAGTTGCTCTCCCCCTTCTTCCTGGTAGTTTCTGTCTCTTGGTGACATAGTACCACACTCACCTTCATCAACTCAGTGGAGTAATATTGTACTCTACTTTAATTCTTCTTTATTTCCTTAGCTGGGCCTTTCTCATCTCCCCAAACTTTGAGTGTTTCTTAGACTTGGTTCTGGGATTTCACTTTTTTTGGGGGGGCGGAGACTCTCACTTTTTATTTTTCTTTACTCTCTTGCACAAGTCTAACTAGTTCCTATATGCTAATGGATCTTAAAGTCATATCTCTACCTGAGAACCTTATTTCTGAACTCTATGCTTGTATCTCCAACTGGTTACTTGATGTATCTGCGTGTCTGGCTTCCAGACATCTCAAACTTAACATGCCCCCAAATGAACTTTCGTTTCCCCATCAGAATTCTTCACCCTCTAGGTTTCTCCATTTCAGCGAATGACATGATCTTTCTCTCTGATCCTCACACCAGAAACCGGGGAATGTGTTGATGTCTTCCTTCATTTCACCCCTATAGCTCCGTCCACCGGCAAGTCCTGGGATTCTAAATCCACAGTTCATCTCTAATCCATCAACTACCTCTCATTTACACCCCCATGCTCCTGGGCACATCATTTCCCATCTGGGGTGCAGCAGTGGTATCCAACTAGTCTCCCCATTTTTATACTTGTCTCCTCTCCTTAAGGTCATTTATCATTCAAACCAAAAGTGAAAAAAGTGAAAATGATCATTATACCAGGATAAAAGAAATAAACCAGAACTGTCCCAGGCAAAACAGGACATGAAGTCATCTCACCTCTCAGTCTAACATACAAACTACAGATGGTCCCTGACTCACACGATGGTTTTAATCACAATTTTCAACCTTACGATGGTCCAAAAGTGATACACATTTAGTAGAAACTGTACTTTGAATTTTGAATTTTGATTTCTTCTCCAGCTAGTGATACGTAGTGATATGTACTCTCTTGTGTTACTGGGCAGTGGGAGCAAGCCACAGCTCCCGGTCAGCCATTCAACCACCAGGTTAAACAACCAATGCTCTACAGCATATGGTGTTGCCAGGTGATTTTGTTCAACCATAGGATGATATAAGTGTTCTGAGGGTGTTTAAGGTAGGCTAAGCTAAACTATGATATTTGGTAAGTTATGTGTATTAAATGGATTTTTCACTTACAATATTTTCTTTTTTTTTAGAATGGAAAATATAGTTTATTTAGAAAGTAAATTAGAGAGAGCTAGAGCTAGAGAGAGAGAGAGAGAGAGAGAGAGAGAGAGAGAGAGAGAGAGAGAGAGAGAGAGAGAGAGAAAGGAGATTCATCTCCCCAAGGTAGGGGAGGGGGTCAAAACCGACTTACAATATTATCAACCAAGGATGGGTTTACTGAAATGTAAGTTCATTGAAAGTCAAGAAGCATCTGTATAATCATATCATATTTCTCTTCTGCTGAGCACCCTTCAGAAGATTTCTATTTCTTTTAGAATAAAATCCAAATCTTTATTTTGGCCTACAAATCCCTGTGGGATCTGTCTCTGGCCACCCTCTAGCATCATCTCATGCCGCAAGCTCCACACACTGACCTTCTTTCATTCCCACCTAACAGGCCAACTCTTATTTGCCACAGGACCTTTGCCCATGACATTCCCTCTGCCCAGAACACTCTTCCTGCTTGCTCTTCACATGCCTGGATCTTTCTCACCTCGTGCGTCTCTCTCGAATCCTTCTCTCTGGAGAGAGTCCTGCCTTGGCTGACCTGCCATGGGTATTCTTTACTTCCTAGCCAATTTTTGATGTGGGCCAATTTTATTCATACCTTGGTTTATTCTTTTATTTTCTTGTTCGAATTTTCTTTTGTTCCATCTCCCTCCCTAGATTATAAAATAAATGAGAGAAGTGATCATTTTTGTTTTGTTTACCCCTGAACGTCCAGTACAAAGCAAAGTGCCCGATACATAGAGGTACCTCAATAACTGCTTACTGCATGACAGAATGATTGGCTTAATTTACTGACTTACTAATAAAGAGAAGGTTTTATTTCAAAGTAGGTCAGTCTAGTTTTAAGGAACAGGAAGGTGCTAATGGAGAGGGAGAGGGAATAACAGTGGCATCAAAGCCAAGTGGAAGCAAGAGCTGGGATCAAACCTGTAGGTGATGAGTTAGCTCCCACAAGGAGTTTCTCTTGCTCAGAGAAAGGGAGGAAGGGGAGAGGAATGGGGGTAGGGGAGGCAGGACATTTGAGACGGAGGACAAGGGACCTGAGGGGTCCAGTTGAACATGCTGTTGTCAAACACTACACCTCCCAGGATGCATCACACCCACTGTACCTCTCTATTTGCTTGTCTGTCTGCAGATCAAGTAAGAAACCAAAGGCAAAAATCATGTCTGTCTTACTGTCTATCATCACTGTATCCACGGCACCTATTATGGCTCCTAGCATAGAGTACGTGCTGAATAAACATGCGTTGAAATACTCGTGAATGAAGTAGAGAAGAAATCATCTTCCAAAGTAGACGGCTGTGTCAGGAGAATTTGAGAGCTGTAGCAAGTATGGATGTTTCATACCGGTTTTGGTCTGTGGAAAGTGGTAATGAGTCATTTCGAGATGACTATGTAAATCTGTGCCAAATCTATATTAAAACGCCAGTCAAATTTTAGATATAATTTCATCTTATTATAGTAAATCCTTTATGGGGAGGGACTGAAAAAACAACAACCTAGAATTATCTTTTGTAGGGTGGGTCCTTTGCAGTATAGGCTTCCCTTTCTAGGTAAGTGTTCTAGGAACCCATCAGCAACAGCATACCAGCTGGTGTTGTGAGAGGCTGCAATGTGGAAGAAACTCCCAAGTGTGGCAAACAGGTGACTGGTTCTTCCACCATGACAATGCCTGTCCCATCCTCCTTATTCACCCAATCTCGCTCCGAATGACTTTTTTTTCCCGTTTCTTTGGATGGAAAAGTCCTCAGAGGGAAACATTGTGACAATATGGAAAAGGTGAAACACAAAATGGCAGAAGCACTAAAAGGAATCCAAACAGACGAGTTCAAAAACTGTTTGGAGCAGTGGAAAAATATCTCGATAGGTGTATGACATCAAATGGAAAGTACTTTGAAGATGACTGAAGTTTTAAAATGTAAGAATAAGTACACAATTTTCTATAAATAAATTTTGGGTTTTTGGGTCCCCCCCTTGTATTATCTCATAGAAATGAAAATCATGAACCCCAAGTATAAATAAATCATCACTTACAATGGTATCTGATGGGAAGACTTGGGAGAAAGAAAGAAATATTTTGAATTTCCCAAGTACTGTGACTATCACAGGACAAGTTAGCAGAAAACATTCTGTGAGACACACTGTATTTTTTTGAGTTGAAGGACATACTGCAT